CCGAACAGGGGCAACTACAAGTTTCGCAGGGGCGTCAAGAGCGAGGTGCAGTTGCAGAAGCGACAGAAGGCCGTGGACGATGAGCTTGCAGCCGGCGATCGCCGACATCAAGAAGGCCCAGGGGATTCGAGGTATGGCCCCTGCCGCAGCTGGACATGTCGGCGGTCGCGCGCGGGACGTCGACTACGACGTCGCGATGCTCAGCGACGTGAGTTCCGACGACGGCGAGCAGCGCGCCCAGCTCCAGGACGAGGGGGGCTCAGAGGAGGGCGAGGCTGCGTCTGCAATCTGCAGTGGCGGGGGTGGCGCTGGAGGCCGGGCTGCGTCGGCGGCGGCGACGCCGCGCTCGAAGTGCAGCCTGCCCCCGAGCAACACCGTCGAGCCGATCGATGAGGATGGCGAGTCCGACTGCGACTGCCGCCGCCCTCCACGCAGCGGGCGCCCTGAGGCACAAGCCTGGCGAAACCTCAACTACCTATGGGAGTAGGGTGAGGGGGCCTGGTGGTCTTCCGTCGTCTTCTCGTCCTCCGCTTGTCGGATTCCCTCCCCTCTTCCTTCCAGGGGCGGGATGACTGCGTGTTGAGGTTTCCGTGCTGGTCTTGCCAAGGGAAGGGGTGGGCCTCTCGACGGCCCGACCCTTGCCATAGATCAGCGTGGAGATGCACGCGCATTCATGCCGCCCCCGACGAAGCGAATGAGGATGAGGGATGAAGGAGAGAAGAAGATGTCGGAGGACCGCTATGCACCCCCCCCCCGTCCCAGGGCAGGGTAAGTTTCGGCTGGCCCTTAGGTCGGCAGCGCCGCTGCTCGCAAGAAGGGCAAGCCCACGCCGCAGGAGTCCGCCACTCAGAGGTTTGAGAAGGTCATGGAGAGGGCTCGTGAGCACCATTCGGCAGAGAAGGAGTGGACGCAGCGCCCGAAGAGCAGGATCCACGATGCCACCGTCAACGCATTGGCCAAATCCGCCCGCGAGATGGCCAGGTTCACACGAGACGATGATTGCTCAGCGAAGTCGGAGCAAGCAGGGATGGCGATCAAGGAGATCTCGGCCAGGCGCATCTTCTTCGAGGAGATCAGGGGCAAGACCGTGGACGTGGCAAAGCGGACCATCACCAGTGCGGAGCACCAGGTTATGGCCGGTTGTTCTGTGAGCTTAAGGTCGCAGATCACCCAGCAAGCCTGCTTCGCGCTAGCGACGAGCGAACCGCCACTCATGATCTAGTTTGCCATGTGCCCCCGAGTTCCTGCTCCCGAGGGCGATTCTCAACCAGTTGAGTGGCCTCGCGTCGAGACTCTGTGCCTCGGGCTGCTGTGGGAGACCGCGTCGTGCAAGGCTGACGCCATCATGGCGGACTCGCTGGCGGTGCGAACTCAGGCTGGCCTTGTGACCGACATGGCGGAGCGAATCGTCATCGAGAGTCCGAGCGAGGCGACGGTGCTGAAGAGGATTGCCGACGTCAAGGAGTACTTGGGCAAGAAGTTCCAGCCTTTCGACTTCAGCGTGTGTGACGACGCGCGGGAACCTTTCACGAAGGCCAGTCTCTTCGAGCAGCCCTACATGGACGTGTCCGCTCTCGTCGTCGCAGGCGACGTGTTGACGTGCATTCGCGAGGTGAAGCCTGTGGCAGGGGCTTTGCGCAAGATGTCCAGAATGATGCTCTCCAAGATCGACGCAGTTTCGACGCGTGTACGGAATCTAGCTACCGCTGCAGGGGCGAGAGCACTCTCGAACAGCAACGTCATGAAAATCGCGTGGGATCACCTGGTCGAGCTGCTCGACTCAGATGGCAACCTCGCCAATGCAGATTGCGTGAAGGAGGCTGCGGCGGCTGCCAGCCAGTTCAAGGAGAAGGTCTCGAGTATCGCCACGGGCTTGAAGGAGCCCAGCGGCAAGAGCGAGGATGCCTACAACGCCGTCGTGGACGTTCGCCAGGAGGAGCAGCAAGAGATCTCAATGAAATTTTGCGCCACGTGCATCGTGAATGCAGACCCGGGTGACTTCGAGGATACGGTCTACGCGGAGAACATGGACATGGCCAAGGTGGTGAACGCGTTCATGTGCAATACGTTGATGAGCTGGTTCAGCGTGGAGGATCTCCAGGCGAGCTGCCAACCTGTTCATGTCGCTGCCCCCCCCCCCTCCCGTCCTGAAGGGATGCCCCCCCCCGAGGGGGCCGCTAAATCTGGTCTTGAGGTCGGCTGTCGGCTGACCGCTGGTCTTTCCGATGAGGCCCTCGGTCCGGCTCGACTCTGCACCCCCTTCTTCCACCCTAATCGGGCGGCCTGGAATTGCGATGGGGTTCGGAGGGCGGGCGGGAGGGAGGGGATGGGGGTCATGCGACTGACGTGATAGTTTGACAGCCCGAGGGGAAACTGTCACGCGCCCTGCACTGCGAGGTTGAGGATGACACGTGGGACGAGCTCTATTGGGTTGGAAACGTCTTGGAGTACTGCGCCCACTTCGCGCCGAAGTCCCAGGCCCTCCAGACCACACGCAAGAAGATGATCCTCACGCACCACGTCAAGAGTCTGCTGATGGCGACTTCCACTGTCACGGAGGACTGCGCGACGGGGCTCAGGGAGTGGGTGAAGGCCCACTTGATGGACTTGGGCTTGAAGCCAGCTGCTGACCAGGAGGTGAACGACATCTTGGGCGACAGCTTCATGATCTTCTTGCACAAACTGAACCACGCTTGGGCTGGAGTCCAGGTGGCCGCCCCCTTGATGTCCTACGTCCGACGCGTCGTGCACTCGCCGTTCTGTTCTGACGCATTCTTGTCCGTTGCGAAGGAGTTCGAGAGCAAAGTGCCTGATGGTGTGAAGGCGCTCTTGGTGTCAGCACGGAGCATGAAAGCCCTGGAGAGATCGTTCGGCTGGGTCAAAGACGGCAGACAGATTGGCATGATCGAATTGACGACCGCCCTCATGGACGCGAGCACCGTCACGAACGACGCTCGCGAGCTGGAGTCGCTCGGGAAGCATGAGAATGAGCTGATCAGGGCGTGGAGGCTTGCGCTCCGCGACCCCACCAAGTCCGACGTGGAGGAAGAAATCCAGCAGTCCTTGGACAAGTGCAGCGGCTTGGAGGAAGCCTTGAACAAGTGGTCGTTCAAGGGGGAGCTCGCGTTTCTCACCTCGGACGGCAGCGACTCGGCATGGGCGGCGATGATCAGACGTTTCGAGACGTTCATTGCCACGACGCCCACATCCGAGCGCATATGTGAGTTCCTGGTCTCCAACGCCTCCATGCTCAAGTGGGCTGACGACAAGGAGATGCGCGTGGTTCGGTCTCTCAGTGAGTACAGCGCTAATCGCTCGTCGCTTGCTTTGAAGATTGGCAGTGCTTTGTCGGAGATGGTGCTGGCTAACTGCATCAATGCTGCGCCTGCGTGTGCTCTCCAGCGTTCGTTGGAGCTGACTGTGGGCATCCTGCCCGAGCGTTTCAATGCGAAGCCCCAGGATTTGAATCAGGCCTTGCAGGATCGGGCTGCAGCCGTCCTTGCCAGGCCGCCAGATACCAGCGGCGAGAAGTCTCACATCAGTGTTGGTGGCACCGGCTTCTCGAGCATCGCAGGAGGCAGCGCTGGCCCGTCGAAGTCGACAGCTGCCCCTACAAGCGACAAGCCGACCCTTAAGAAGAAGGGCTCGCAGGCGTTGCAATATATCAGGGATTGGGAGTTCGGGGCTCGAGGGTTCTCAGATAACAGTCGAGAGGACGAGGATATGAAGGACGAGCGACCTACGAACAGCGACGACGAGTAACATAGATGCGACAATGCGAACACCACCGACTCGGTGGCCAGGAGAGCTCTGCGGCTCCGCCCCCTTTTTTTCTGGGGCGCCTGGGCCGCCCGTCTCGTTCGAGCAGCTCGGAGACTCGGAGAGGCACTTGGCCTGGGCGAGGCTCGAGGGGTCCAGTGAGCACTTTGTGACAAGCCATTGCTGGCTGTCTTCTCCATCTTACCCGCCCCTCTCTCGCCCATTCTCCGCCCTTGATCCGCCCGCCCGCCCATCCCTCACTCGCCCATTTCCTCCTTCCTCTCTCCTCCTCCCCTGCCCGCCCCCCCCCTCCCCTCTTCTCCTTCCTCTCTCCTTCCCCTCTCCTCTCGTGCCTGCGCTGTCGCCGACGATGCCGCCGCAGTTTCCCTCGTCGTCGCTGTCGCCCTCCCCTCTTCTCCTTCCTCTCTCCTTCCTCTCCTGTCGTCCCTGCGCTGCGGCTGACGATGCCGCCGCAGTCGCCCTGGTCGTCGCTGTCGTCCCTCGTGAGCTAGGTTGGGGGTGGATGGGGCAAAAACGCCACGATGACAGCGAAGATGGAGGAGGCGGGGCAGAGCAGGTACGAACGCGAACGAATAGTAGGACGAGGCGTGAGATCGGGAGACACACCAATATCAATAAAAACAGCAGGGTCAGCTACGACCCAAAGCGTCAACTGAATGAAGATGGGATGGCAGGTGGTGGGAGGATGGGAGGAGAGACGGGGGGACGCCGAAGGAGAAGGAGGAGGATGATAATGGGAAGAGAGGAGAGGAGAGGGGAGGAAGAGAGGAAAGGCGAGAAGAGGGGAGGAGGAGGAGGAGGGGGGAGGAGAGGAGTGGAGAGGAGAGGAGCGCCGTGTCCCTGTGCTTATGTGCGTATAAGTTCTTGCACCAGGCAATGTGCAGCTTTAGTCGATTGCTTCCGAGGGGCATGTGTGAATATCTACAAGTGCCCCAGGGTAAGATCCGAACTCGCTCTCCCCAAGCCCCCCCCAGTCCCCTTTACTGTTTTGTGGCAGCGCCCTATACAATGAGGAACCCCGCCGTCTTCTGAGAAGGCCTTCTCCTTCTCACTTCCCCCCCTCGCTCGCCGCCAAGAGACCCCGTGGATGCGGGGCGCCTTCTCGCGGGCGCCCCGCGCGGAGCGTATACCCATGCGACCGCGCATCCATCCACGGCATGGTGCCCGGGCGTGCCGACCGCGAGGGCCGGGACACGGACGCGGTCGCCGCTCGCGAGCAGGGCCGTGGAGTTCCTGGGCGCCATGCGCGCCGGCGGCGTCCGGGTCGACCGCGTGGCGCTCGGCGCCGTCTTCTCGGCGGCTTCAAGATTCAGAGGAGGAAAATGTACCGATACCGCTACCCTTCGCCCGTTTTCCCCTTTTTCGGCCTCCTTGGAGGCTCTCGTTGTCACCGCTGGATTCGCTTCGAAATCCTGTTCAGAACGCACCCCGGGAGAGGCCCAGGGAGTAGCGGTATCGGTACCATTTGGTTTCCCCAAAGATGGCGCCCTGAGGCAAGGGCTAAGTGGGGACTGTCCCTGCACAGGGGGAATATTCAAAATGGTCAAAAGATAGTCAGGGGACGACTTGTTGAGCATTTTTTGGCTAGTTTTGAGCATTCGTTGGGTACGTTTATCTATTTTATTAGTCGTCCAAAATCCGCCTGTAGGGGTAGGGTTCGAAACTCGTCGCAAACGCGGCGACATCCGAACCCTGCCCCCGCGCCCCATCGACTCAGCAGGGTCGATGGTTGGTGGGGGTAGGGTCCAGATGGCGCCACCTGCATCCCACAACTCCCTCCGTTCTGGGAATGCTGAAGGGTGCCTCATTCCCCGGCGGCGCCAGCGCGAGTCGTGACGTAACCAGGGGGGTTGGGCGGAGGGGGGTGGGCGTGGCCGGCCACGGGCGTGCATCGCGAATGATACTGAAAAGAGCTTGTTTTTCTTAGACTCTGGCAAGTTTACTTGCATGGACGGGGGGGGGGGGCTGAGCCTGAAGCAAGCCCGGGGGGGGGGGCGCGGAAATCACCCAAGTCGAAAGGCATTGCACGCTAGTATTCGCTCGAAGAGGGACGAAAGGACGCCATGCAAGTACACTTGCCTGAATCCCCCCCAAAAAAAAACAGGCTCGAGAGCTGCCTCGTCCTTGTACCGCCGATCCTCGCCGCGTGCGAGCGGGGCCGCGCCTGGCGCTCTGCCGGCCAGCTGCTCGCGGACCTCCGGCGCGCGCGCACGGCGCCGGGCGCGGTGGCCTCGCAGTGCGCCGCGCGGGCCTTTGGCTTCGCCGGGGGCCATGCCGCCGCGGCCCGGGCCGCCTCGGAGGCCGACGCACCGCCCGCGCGGCTGAGCCCGGCCGACCGCAGGGCGGTGTGGAGCCCAGGGGAGGAAGCCACGGAGTGCGTGTCAGATCGGCCGGCCCGATGCGCTATCGTCGTCGGCTGTTTCGACCCGATTCGGTATCGGTGTCGGCCACTTCGATCCGATTCGATATCGGCCTCGGCCGATACCTTGAGATCTCGAGTGGTGGATGCCGATAATTACCTGCCCGCCCGTGTGGGCGGGCAGGTATCCACAGCCACTGCTCCCCAAGACGTCGGGACTCGACCCAGCGACACCGCATACGGACATTTTTTGCGGCGCAGGTGGGCACATCCACCGCGCAACGCATAACAACGGGGTCGTATGGTCTGACATTGGCGCGTCAGCTGCCCGCGTAAGGTCACGCGTAAGCGCCCTCGCTTACAATGCAGCTTGCTGTACTCGCAGCCCGCGTAAGCCGCGGCGTATGGTCGCTACGTCACCCACAACTTTTCGGAGCTCCGCGCGGGTTCATTGGATCTGCGCCCCCTCGGCGCCTCTGGCGGCGCCAGGGAGGGGGTCCAGCGCCGATCTGCGAAATCCGTGCGTAGTTCCGAAAGTTTGGGTTCATGCTATTTCTTGTCCGTCTACGCAGGGCGGTGTGGAGACCAGAAGAGGCAAACATGCCGATCCCGCTACAGGTGTTCTTGGTTGTATGCGATCCCTCCTGGCAGTTGTCCAGCCTGAGGATGTTCCCCACTTGCTGCGCCTCGCCAAGAGCGCTCCTGGGTGCCCGGATCTCCCCGAACGGCCGCATGAGACCCCTGTTACGACTCGAAACTCAGACGACGAGGATCGCAGCATACCGATGCCGATCGCACCATACCGATGCCGGTTGTGGGCATCTTGGGTTGCCCTCGTCGCCACGCCACGGGCGGTGGCCTACTGCCTCGTGGGCGATGCGGAGCCCAGAAGAGGAAAATCAACAGATGCAGTAACCACATCAACTACCTGGCCTCGCTCGGACGTGTGCAGTTTTTTTCTCGGCGAGGACCCTGGAGGAGCATCCTGGATCATCGAGCAAACAAAGACATGCACGAAACCGAAAAATGCACAGGGAATGGGCGTCCGAGCGATGGCAAGACTAAGATATCGGTCTGCAAGCGGCGCCCCACGGAGTTGTGAGATCCTCCAATGGCCCCAGACACCCGCAGAAGCTCTGGCACCGTGGTAACCTGGCAGATCGACGAAGAATCTGACCCAATGCTTCTCACAACAAAGTTTGTTTGATCGTCTGTGGCTTCTGCCCCCGTTGCTCGTCGCCACGGCTGGGTCCGCTTCGAAATTCTTGACGACTCGCGCATCCCCACGAGCCGCTTGGGCTCCCTCTTAGGCCGCAATTTATTAGAGCTTGGCGCGGTTGCCTCTTCTCTTGACGGCGCGCGGTTGGACCGCGACGCTCGCGAACGAAAACGCATCCCCACGAGCCCATCCAATACTAGACGCCGGGCGAGTTGCCCTGATCAGGGATGTGCAACAGCGTGCGGCCTGGCAGTGAACCGCGGGCGACCTCGAATCTACTCCGAAGGGTGAAGAGGAAGATAACGTAACCACTCAGCCAGGACAACCATTCAACCAGGAAAACGACGTCGACGACGACGCCGATACCGACGCCGACGCCGACGACGACGACGACGACGACGCCGACGACGACAGGAGTCAACTATCAAGGCCTTTGCATATCGTTTTCTGTGGGAGCGTCTTTGAGGCCTCTAGGGGCCGTTTTGAACGCCTCGTGGGCCCTCCCTCATGGGGATCTCTTGGGCCTTCTTGAGGTTCACTTGGGGCTCTTCTGAGGCCATGTTGCAAGTCTCGGGGGTCTCTCTTAAGGTCATCTTGGAAGCCATGGCCATCCTGAACTCCTTTTGGGGCCCCCAATGGGCCATCTTCGAGCGAGATGGAGGGCGCAAGAGCCCGTCGGAAGCCAAAAGGCGACGAGGCCGAACGCATTCCGACACATCATGGTCTTGGCCTCTCGGAGGCTTCCCGGGGAGGTTCGGAGGGCACTCGGGGCCGTTCTCTGGCGAGCAGGAGGCCACTCGCGCCCAGAGGGCGGGGGAGATCCTCGTCAGAACACTGCCATCGCTCGGACGTGTGCATTTTTGGTCGGCGAGGGGCATCGAGGAGCACACTGGGCCATTTTGCCCAACAAAAAGCCGCGCACGACACCGAGAGATGCACGGGGAATGGACGTCCGAGCCATGGCAGGGAACGCGCCCCGGGAGAGGCCAGGGGAGCAGCCAACTCGGCACCCTCCTGCTCCGCCCCCAGGAGCGCCACCGTGTGGGCCTTCGAGGTCTCCGCCGCGCCCGCCCCGCCGTGCCGGTCGCCCGCGACCGCCGCCGGCGTCGTGAGCGTCGCGGAGGCGGTGCGCAGGTACTGCCCCGTCCAGGGCCCGGCTGCTGCGCAGGGCGGCGGCCCGTAGGGAGGCGCGGCCGAGCTCGAGGAGCGGAGGGGGCGGAGGGGGGCTCTCCTCGCCTCCACCGGCAGTGCCGGCTCGAGCCGCCGCCGCCGCCGCAGCGTCCTCGTAGGCGGGGGGCGACGGTTCCTGTCGTGCGGAGCGGCAGAAAGTTGTCTCGCCTCCTCGTCCACTTCTCGTCCGCCCCTCGCCCCCCCCGCCCCCTCCTCCCCCTGCCCTCCTGCTCCTCCTCCCTCCTTCCCTTCTCCCTGCCTCCCTCTTCTTGTGCCACTCCCCATCCTGTTTCCCTGCCCTGGCGAGAGTCCGGCACGTCCGTTCCCGGGGAGGTCAGCAGCAAACGTAGGAGCAAGAGTAGGACGATCAGGATAAAACCAAGAGAAGCAAGGAAATGAGGAGGAGGAGGAGGAGGAGGAGCATGATTAGGTAGGAGAAGCAGAAGGAGCAGTATGAGCAGGATGATGATCAGCAGGCAGACTGTGGGAATGAAGGCGTGGCCGCGGGGGCGCGCCAGCTAGCGCTGAGCAGTCAGCGCAATTGCCGCCGCATTGGCGGTGCAGACCAAGTTGCAGGCCGGCGGGGCAATCGCGCGAGCAGCGGAGTTGGCAACTGCAAGCTCGGCAGGGCGAAATGGGCTGCGCAGGCGGCGCCGCGTAGATCCCTTCCTCCAAACGGGACGCAGGATCAACTGCCCCCCCCCCCCGCCCTGGATTATCCGCGACCCCGGGGGTGTGCAGTTCACTTGCGTTTCCGCCCCGTCGTTCGCGATTCACGCGGATTCAGACCATCCCCGCCCAGCTGGCGTCGACCTCCACCGCCGTCCTATGCAGCAGACTCCACGCGCGCAGTTTCGCTTATAGAAGCCATCCATTGTCGAGAGCCTTCTGCAAAGCGTGGAACTAGTTAAAGTGTGCGCGCTCGTCGTCGAGCGCGATCGCTGGAACTCGTTGACAAAACCTCGGGCGCAGCGCGGCATTCAAAACTGAGCGCCCTGAAAACACAGAAAAAACACAGCGTCGAAACGCCCGTTTCCCACGGGACTGTCTGCGCGCGCTCTGACGAGGATGTTCCGACAGTTCCATCAAACGTGGCCGCGCGGGCCTGTCGCGCGCGCATGCTGGAACCGCGCGAACGCCGCGAACGCCTCTGCGCGCGCGCTAAGGGCGCGGGGCGCGCTCTTGCCCAATAATACCACGCGGGTCGCTCGCGCCCGTCGGCCGCGCGCGCGCGTCGAAATCTGCCCAGCGTTTCCATCGCCGGGCGCCGTCGCGCGCCCTGCGGTCGCCATCGTCATCGTCGCCACAAGCACCCCTGCACTCAATGTCGCGTCGGCCGCCGCCGACGTCGCCATGGCGCCGCGCCCGCCGGAGTCGCCGACCCGCGCTGAGGTGCGCGCGCGTCAGCGCGGCCTGCGAATAGCGCTGGCCCCAAGCGGTCTGCGCCGCCGCGGCTGCGTCGGTCGCGCCAGCGAGCCTGCGCGCCCGCGCGCGCTATCGCGGCTGCAGCGACGCCGCGCTGTTATCGCAATCGCCGCCGCGTGGGTTTTGCAAACCGAGTCGCGGGTGGGTCGGTGGGATGATGGCGCGAGCAGCGGGCTTGAGATCTTGAAGTTCGGCAGGATGAATGGCGCCGCGTTGGTTGCGCCGCGTAGATGTTGCCCCGTAGGCCTGTCGTTGAAAAAGGAGAGGATCCCCCCCCCCCGCTTGACCCGCCCACCTTGGGGATGTGGCGCAAGTTGCCCATGGTTCGTTCATGCAGAATGAGCACCGCATAGCTTGCGCCCCATACTCTATATTCCTGCCCCCTACTCCACAGCATCCGCTCGCTTTGGTCTCTTGCAGTTTACATGTGGTTCCTCTCTCGCCCATTTTCCATGTGAGATCACGTTATCCTTGCAAGGCAGGCATGGACTGGGCCCGTGAGCTCTTGCAATCCAACAGGTCTGCGCGCTTGTTTGTGCAGAACCAGCCATTTGCAGGAATCACTTGTAACGAGTAGAACGGTGTGCGCAGGCGCGCGTCGTTGCGCGAGCACGTCGTAATCTGTTTCAAACGTCTGCATTCGTAGGGGTACCAACAGCCAGCGTCCCGAGACATGTTAAACGCACGTGTTTTTTGCAACCTGCGTTGTCAACAAGAAAATGCGCGCGCCGCCGCGATTTCCGAAGAGAACCGCAAGCTTTTCAACATGTCCACCACATGCGGCAGAACGGGCTTCTGGCGCGCGTGTCGACATGGTTCGAACATAATTTCGCGCGTGTGCTTTTGGGGGGGGCACCGTCCATGTCAAATAACACCATGCGGGACACTCGCGCGCGTCGGCCGCGCGTGCGTGTCGAAATCTTTGGAAATCTTCATCGCCGACACGTGGGCACTATCATCGTCATCGGCTATGTCAGCGTCTGCGCCGTCATTGGCCTTGCTGTTGTCACCGTCATCGTCGCCACCAGCATCGATGCTATCATCGGCGTGTCTGCTGTTGCCGACGTCGCCGACGACGTTCCCAGCTGCTGGTGCACTGGGCAATCTCCAACGGTCAGCCGCGTCGGTCGCGCCAGACTCGCCGGTCGCTCGGCGCGCGAGCCTGCGCGCGCTAGCAATCGCCGCCGCATGAGGTGCAAACGAATTTGCGCGTTGGCGGGTCGAGTGATTGCGCGAGCAGTGGAATCGGCAATTTCCACCGTTCTGGCGAGGACATGCAAAGCGCCGTAGGTTGCACCGCATAGATTCTTTTTCGTCCAACAGAGCTTGCACTGCGCACCCACCCCCACCCCAGGATGATCGACTAGCTTTACGCTTTGCAAGTTACATGCGCTTTGCACTTGCAACAGACTGGGGAAAGTCCACGCGCGCGGCGTCGCGCCCACATGCCGGAATCAACCATCCAACATTTTCAGGCGCCGCAAGGATTTCAACATCGATTGTCCCGAACCAGGTAGAAGAACAATGGCGTTGAAACGTGAATCGTCAAAAGTACGCGCGAGCTGTCTCGCGAATCCGGAAGAAAACCGCAGGTTCTTGGCTGCTCCGCGCTCGAGCCCGCGCGCGATAGAGCGGCCGCGGCGACGCGCCAGCCAGCGCCCAGCAGCGCAAAGGCCGCCGCGTGGGTTCGGCGAACCAAATGGTGGGCGCGCGGGCGGGATGACTGCGCGAGTAGTGGAGGTGTCAACTTCGGGCATGCCGGGGCGAGTTGCGCCGCATAGGTTCTTCTTTAGGTAGCCTGAGAAGGATTTAGGATCCCCCCCCCGTTTTTCGACCCTCCTTGGCAGTAGTGCGATTTGCATGTCATCTGATCGTGCCCCATGGTACATTTTTGCGTGTGAGTTTACATCATCCGAGGAATAAAGTGTTTAGCGAACCGCCCTCTCGCGCCTTTCAGTCAATGATATGCGCACGTACTCGTTTATCAGAAACTATCCATACGCGGGCGCAATCCTCGTCGCCGGCGTGGTCCGTATCGGCGCTGTCATTGGCTTGGCCGTCGTCATCAGCGTCACCAGCGTCGCTGCGATCATCGGCGTGTCTCCCTGTGCCGACGTCGCCATGATACCGCGCGAGTCAGCGACTCGTACTGACTTGCCAGCGCGCCAGCGCGGCCTGCGAGACGCGCTGGGATGTCCCCAGGGGTCAGCGCCGCGACGGCAGCGATGCTTTAGTCAGCGTCCCGCAGCCGTCGTAATCGGCGCCTCGTGGGTTGTGCAAACAAATTTGCGGGTGGTTGTTTGGGACGATTGCACGAGCAGGGGAGTTGACCACCCATTGCTAACAGCATCGAACTGCACCATACCTATCCGTGTCTCTAAGAAGGAGTTTGAATATACTCCTTCCCCCACGGGTCGCGCTGCCCCGTGGGATGGTATAGTTTACAAATGATCTTGCCCAATCGTTAATTTCAAACATGACTTCATATCAACCCAGCCAAACCTCTTATGGATCCCCCCTCTCTCCCAAATTGTACAGTGCGCGTGCACTCGTTTACCAGACACCATTCGTTTCCAATCATCCCTTGCAACCGGCGCGACGAAGTCGGCGCGCGCGGGCCGTCGCTCGCGCAAGCTTGCATTTGTCAAACATTCTCGATTCCGTGAGGCGTTCAAGACCGAGGTTACGGAACTCAATACATAACAAATCATTGCACGTGATCTTGCGAATTCCCTTGAACGCCGCTGGCTTTTCAATTGTTTCATCCACTGCAGCCGAGCGGGCCTCTCGCGCCTGCATGTCGAAATCATTCGAACGCTTTTCCGTGCTTGATGGGGAGGGCGGGCGCGGCCCTTATCAAATAATGCCATGCGGGCCGGTCGCCCGCGCCAGCCGTGTGCGCATGTCGACATTTTTCCACCGTTTTCAACACCGACGCGCGGACACCATCATCGTCATCGGCGTGATCAGCATTGGCGCCGTCATTGGCCTTGCCGTCGGTATGATCATTATCGTCACCGTCGTCGCTACTATCATCAGCGTGTTTGCCGCTGTCGACGTCGCCATGATACCGCGGCCAGCCGCGTCACCGACTCGCTGTGACGTGTCCGCGCGTCAGCGCGGCCTGCGAGACGCGTTGGGAATTCTCCAGGATTCCAAGCCACCGCAGCCGCGTCGGTCGCGCCAGAGTAGCCGGCCGCTCCGCGCGCGAGCCTGCACGCGCTAGTGCGGCCGCGGCGATGCATTAGCCAGCGCCGAGCTTTTATCGCAATCGCCGCCGCATGGTTTTTTGGATGGCTGCGCGGGCATTGGAGTTGTCAACATCAAGTTCGGCGAAGTGAATAGCGCCACGTAGTTTGCATCACATACATGGCATCAGCAATGTAGCACGACATCGATTGCACCACACGTGTTGCATAACATGCGGTGCACCACAAAAATTGCGCAACGTGTGTTGCACAACGTAGTGCCCCACATATGTTGCACCAGATGTACTGCACCGCATACATAGCTAAGACACAACACACACGCGTGTAAACATACATACATACATACATACATACATACATACATACATACACACATACA